AGTGGATTGCCTGAGCCCACAAGTTCAAGACCCGCCTAGGCAACTTGGCGAGACCTCATCTCTACGATAAATCAAAAATTAGCTGGGCATGGTAGCGTGCACCTGTGGTTCCAGTACTTGGAAGGCTGAGGCGGAAGGATCACCAGAGCCCAGCAGGTAGAGGCTGTGGTGGCCGGGAGTGGCCACTGCATTCCAGTTTGGGTGACAGAGTGAGACTCCAACTCAAAAAAAAAGAAGATTTGGTACATTTGAGTCTTTGTCTAAGTATCTCCGAAATTCAGCTTTAACTTTTGACCTCTTGTTTGGCAAGATGGCTTTCATTTTTTTTAGTTACCTATTCAAATTTTATCAGAATGTTTCTACTTATCTTTCTGTTGCTTCCCACGTCTGACTTTTTCTGTTACTTCATCACACACCGAAAGGAAGAATAACATCCATATCAGTGATTCACATTATCTTTATTTTCTACATTAATTTTTAATGCCACAAAACACTCAAAATTCCATTTCTTTTGTTCTCTCCCTCTTTCCAAAAGCGATTATTTTAAGGCTAACATTAAAGATACGCCTGCTATTTTACTTTGATTAGCAATTGCTTAATGTGAAGTCTTTCCCCAGCAAATCCTGATATTTTAGAAAATTATTGTGTTTATAAGTTTATTTTTATGAACCAAATAATACCAGTAGATAATAGAGATTTATGATTAGAGAGAACTACTTTTGAATTAGAGGGTTTTTTTGGTTTTTTTAAATGACCTCAGTGTGACATAGGGAAATTTGGCTTCCAATAGGACGAAGACCTGTCTCAGGTTGGTCTGTTGCAAGGAGTCATCTGTCATAGGGACTCCTCTCACCATTATACACTAGAAGCTCATTGAGAATCTGGTACCTAATTAATCATACACACCAAACTCACCTCTACTGTAATTTCAGTGTCTATGATGAGATTCATAATTCACTTCAGTGCTTCTTTAATTAGTATATAGATCACTTCCTCTAATCCTTTAAACAAACTGCTGAGAACTTTAGCAGTTTTGGAGCATTCTAACTTTGGTCCTCTGAGCTCAAAACAAACACATAAAACCTACAGAATCGCATTTCCAGGGTTATAAACTCAACAAGCATTTACTTCGCTAGCTGTGGAGGCATTCTGTGAGGAACTTCACGTTCCAGCTGTGTGTCCTATAAAACTAATGTTCAAATTTCATAAGAAAGAACAGATATAAAGCATTCCTAACTTAACAGAAATTTGCTTTACTGAAGACACATGGCAAGCTATTAAATAAGATATATTTCAGATTTGTACTTTATTATGAACAGTCTTCATTGTCTGTTTTCCAAATTCAGTAGTTTAAATCATTAACAAATCTTTAAAAGTGGATATTTAGGATGAGAAAATATGAATAAATCATATGATCAGATTTAAACATAGCAACATTTTATACACACTAAATAATTATAGATAACTAATTGTATTCATTTTAATTTACGTTTTAATAGAAATTTGAGAGCTCACTTAACAGATGTAAAACACATAAGCTGTATTTAGTGTTATATTCGTTTATTTCAAAGCTACATAACTAATGAGGTTGAAAGGCAAAAATATGTGTTAATTAAAAGTACATTAGCAGCCGGGGTGGCTCAGCCTGTCATCCCGCACCTTTGGGAGGCTGAGGTGAGTGGATGGCCTGAGCCCGCGGGTTCGAGACCCGCCTGGGCAGCGAGACCTCATCTCTACAACAAATCCAAAAATCAGCCGGGCGTGGTGGCGCGCGCCTGTAGTTCCGGCTACACGGAAGGCTGAGGCGGAAGGATCGCCGGGGCCCCGCAGGTCGAGGCTGCGGGGGCCGGGGGCGGCCACTGCGCTCCAGTCCGGGCGACAGAGTGAGACTCCGACTCAAAAAAAAAAAAAAAAAAAAAAAAGTACATTAGCAAATACCTATAACATTTTAAAAACCATTTTAATTGATATGGTATCTCATCAATTTACATTTTAAGTTTTAGCAGTTTATTTTATTTTATTTTATTTTTTGAGTCAGAGTCTCACTCTGTCGCCCAGACTGGAGGGCAGTGGCTGCTCCCGCGGCCTCGACCTGCCGGGCCCCGGCGATCCTTCCACCTCGGCCTTCCAAGTCGCGGGAACTACAGGCGCGCGCTACCACGCCCGGTTGATTTTTGATTTATTGTAGAGATGAGGGCTCGCCAAGTTGCCCGGGCGGGTCTGCAACCCACGGGCTCAGGCAATCCACTCACCGCAGCCTCCCAAAGCGCAGGATTACAGGCTGAGCCACCGAGCCCGGCTAGCAGTTAATTTTAAATTTAAATGTTAGCAATTTAAAAATGTTCTTGAGTCCACTTTCCCCTAAAAATAAAATAATTACTATTTTTCACATGCATATCGTTTATTTGTTTTAAGAACAATTAAAAACTACTCTCAGCAATTTTCAAGTACACTGTTATTAACTGTACTCACCATTTTGCATAATAGATGTCTTGAACTTATTCCTCAGGTCTAATTGAAATTTTGTATCATTTGACTAACATCTCCCCTTACCAGACCCTGCCCCTCTCCCCACTCTGCCCCAGCTTCTGGTAATCACCGTTCTAATCTTTGCTTCTCTGAATTTGACTTTTTTTAGATTGCACACATGTGTGAGGTCATTCAGTATTTGTCTTTCTGTGCCTAGCTTATTTCACTTAGCATAATTTCCCACAGATTCCGTCTTAATGAAGATGTATATCTTCTACTGCATTAACAATTTTTTAAAAAAACATATAAGATTTTAGGAGATAAGTTATGTGACAAATAATTTGTTAAAGTACAGACAAATATACAGTATTACAGTGACAAAATAATGTAAGTAGATTGTAAAGTTCGAATTTGCTATTTGCATAACGATAAATCACAATTAATTTTCTACACATGTATTAAGTGTTAGAAAGGGATTTAGAGAAAATAATTTTAAAGTCAACCTGGTAGTTGTAGTCTTTGAAGCATTTTATTCAGGTAAATTAAAGCTGAGATGAACACGATGCCTAAAATAATTATTAAATTACCTAAACTCAGGAGAACAAACCTATTATAATAACTGGCTATTTTAATAAGTTTGTTGTTTTTATATAGCTGACTTTACCAATGTGAATTGCTAACTAAATAAATATAATCAGAGACAGGCTGTGTGTCATTTACATACCAACTTGTATGCTTACCCCTTGTAGTATCTATCTCAGCCAGATGGTCAAAGAAACAGAAGCAAGGTCACCTTGTTATTCCTCCTGTCCCTTGCCATTTCTGAAACTGACTTGGTAACCATGCGAGATCACCAATGCACATTCATAACTTCAACCCTGACCCACTTTCTTCTCAGTTACCCCACTGCTAGTTCAGAGCAATATCTTCTGTTTTCAGAAGATAAGAAAAGCAGGATGCAGTTTTATCAACATGTCCAAAACCTCTTTGCTCCTTCCAAATCTAATCTACCTTATCCCTCAACATGGTACATATTTCCCTTAGATGTTCTTCCTTAGGGAAAGAATATACAAAATGAACAGGCTGTGGGCTTACATCCAAATGCATCTTATTTTATGCCATTGTCAACACAAAAGCTGAAGCAAGCTGCTTTTCGTATGTGATCAATTACAGAAATCATGACTTTATTGAAACTCTTTGAAAAAGGAACTTCCCCTAGTATAAAGATACCATGACCTATAATAAGATGTTCAACAAAACCCAGAAGGGTGTGTGCTCCCTTGTGCGAATGAAGGTTGAAGAAGCAGTTTGAGCTGAGATAATCCTGGTGAGCAGTGAACAGCATAGAGAAAAAAATTAGGAACATTATAATAAAACCACAATCTGAGGAAGCTGCTCCAGCACCTTCTTGTACATAGCACAAGTACACAGATACTTTGCTCCCAACCTCTCCCATCTTGGCCATATAAGCCCCACTGTCACAAACCATATGCCAAGCAAAGGAAACACTAACTCAGTATGGGAGATGAAAGTGTGTGAGTTTACAGAAATAACTTTTTTGACCCATTTCCAGAGCATACCAAGTCTGAAACCCTAAATGCAACTTCCTAAAGAAGCATTCATGGTGATGAGCTGATGAACTCTCCTAGTATTAGGTGTAAAATATGTACTTTTTTACTTATAAAAATAAGTTTTTATTGAATTTAGCCTAAGTATTGGACAAAAATGAACTTCCAAATAAAATTTTGCAGCATATTTTTTTAGTTCATGGTATATTACACCATAAGTTAAAATGTAAATATCTTTAAAATGCAGAAAAAAAATATATATATACACATCAATAGAGAATATCAGTAGTACAGATGATTCAAACAGAAAAATCTTCTCCTAAATATATTTTGCCTACCAAAAATATTGTTTTAAATTCCACCTCCCTCCAAAAAATTTTCTTCACCAGAATCATGTGACAATGATATCATACATGGTATTGGGAAAAGAATTTCAAACTGTGACAAGTCAAACATAAATAATTTGACAAAAAAGATTTGAGTATTGTCTTCAGAGATGACCACACAGTTTAGGGTTTGAGATAAAATTGCCTTAACCCTAGTGGGAACCCTTGCTATGGACATAAGAAACCAGATTCATTCAGATTTGCTAACAGTCCAATGCCTATAAGGAAGTTCAGTATTCCAGAGTAGACTGGGATGGGTCACTGAATCTAACCCTAGCAAATAGTAATCAGTAAGAATGAAAGAAGAATATGCCATAAAGAGAAAAGGTGCATTAAAACTTAAGTCCAAGCGTGATGTTGAATTACATTAGAAAACATAGGAGAAAAAGCAACACGAAAAACAACTCTGTTATGAACTACAAAGGTAATTTTAATTTTTAAATTAACCTTGTTTAGCATCCTTCATTTAGTTTGAGATTTGCGATTATTGATCCCAAAGTATTATATGAAATAGTGCAGAATTAGTGATCCAGAGATGTTTTATCACCACTCAATCTTGTTTCTAAGGAAAACATACACATTGTCAATATACTTACTGGAGATGTTGATACTTGAGTTATTCTTAATTGGTTTTCCAAATCTTGTACTTTATTTTTAAGTTCCATATTTTCTGTTTCTAAGTCTTGGATCTAAAAAGAAAACGATCATGGATAACTTTCAGATTTTTTTTTCTTGAAAATATTAGCTGTGACATTGGCTACATTAATAAATAGGATTTTAAATTATTTAAAATGTTATTGCACCCTTTTGTGCACAGGGGAGAGCATTATTTGACAAAGGCTGGGAAATAATGGAAGATTCTAGGTCATTGGAAAGGCATTTAAATTTAAAATACATTTTTATGTGTGTGCAAATTGTATGTTCCTAATGCCTCATCTTTGTGTTTTCTTGTTGCACTGTGCAATCTATACCCGTAATCTTGGAGTATAACCGCAAGACAGTGAAACTTGCTTATGATGATTTTGAAGAGTGGAGAAAGGGTGTAATTCAATTACAAAGGAATCTGATCTGCATGGGAAACCACTTACCCAGCATCTGCTGCTTCTGCTGCTCTGATCCCCATGAGAAGCATCAGGAAGTGAAGCAAAGTCACATGAGAACACTAAGTTCTTGTGGGAATTCAATATAAAATAGTTAAAAACTGTGCAGGGGATCAGGAATGAAAAATTATAGGAACACAGTGAAAGCAGTTCCCATCAGTCAGTGTTGGGGAACTTTAATGGCAGGCCTTCTAAATTTGTCTGATGATATGCAAGTTGCCCTGTGCCTATATCACACAAATGTGAAACAACAAGCTTAGTTTACTCACTCTTTTCTGTAACCCTGCGATCTGTTTTCTTGTTTCAACATCTTTTCCTCCAGATTCTAGAAATTTTCTGTATGCCAGGTCAAATGCTTGGCCAATTGTTAAAGTTATCTCTTCAGCCTTTGTAAAAATCAAACAAAGAATACTTGCATTTTAATAAGAATATGTCCAACTGTTCTTTAAATCAAGAAAGAACATTCACATGATGTACTCCAAAAACAGTCACAAGAGGTACTTCAGAAGGGCAATGGGTGGAGGCAGAGATATATTAAGTGAGCAAACTAGTTTATGCTAACATATTCATTCAATGACTACCCAGGCACAACATGGAAAAAAGGGGAGATTAATGAATAGCTGTTGAAGTGGGAAAGTTGGAAGCAAGAGTTCTGTTGAACTTCTCATCTCTTTTATTGTTGTTTTTTTCTAGTTGTTTTCCTACTTTCCTCAAATATTTAGTGCCTACTGAAGGAAAACACAGTGCCCAGTATGTTTTCTCTTTTTGTTTTGCTACTTATGTCCTTTTCCTACTGAGAAGGTTTGTAAGCTCTGGGCAGGTAACTTGAATGAGGTTGACTAGGTAGTATCTGTGGAAAATTTGAGGTGTCGTCCTCTAAATGGGACATGGCTACTCAGTTCTAGTTAATTGTTGCCTGGTGGAAAGGAGCAATTCCAGTCCAGAATTGTCAGATCTCAAATATGCAAGATGAGGCCAGAAATCTGAAACTTTATATGTGAGCTCCCAATTTTAAGTGATGGTAAGCACAGTTCGTATTTTTGTAAAATACAATGCCAATGAAAAAAACAAATCTGTCATCTGAATTTGGGCTCGTAAAAAATTTACAATCTCAGATGTGTCAATTAGAAACTGCCACAAATATCCTAAGTCCACCAGCTCATTTCTTCTCCATTCATATCTCCACTGAACTCCTGGCGCCTTGCATGAAGACTAAATATTTATTTACTTAGTTAACCTTATAAAAGAGTTTGGCAAAGGCATTTATTGATTTAATGTCGCACAAACACGTCATATTTAATAAGACCATTAGATTAAAAAAAATTATTATAATGTTAAGTGTTGTAAATGACTGCTTGAACTAATCTACTGAAAATCCTAATACTTTGTTATATAATATAATCAACCTAAAATGAGAATATGGTTTATTAATAAAGCTTTGCTTATTTACCTAACGTTGTCCTTTTTGTAGCTCATGTTTGTTTAAGGGGGGCTTTCCTCATTAAAAAGTATTTATAGTGTTTAACCTAGTTAAATAAAAAGAATGCAAAATATATACATAAAATTATACAAGAAGACTGTCTTACAAAAACAAAGGAAAAAGGCAAGAAAATAAACTACAATAAACTATTATATAAACCACTAAATAAATGAAGCAATGCCAGATACCATGCATGTTCAATGATTCAAACTAATGAAAAAAATATATAGAGAAATTTGGTTGAGTTAAATATTGAGATTATTTGTATTATTACAAAGCAGTAAAAGTGGTTTTGATAGGTTGTGGGTTCATACATTTTTTTTTCTGCTTTTACTTTCAAAAATTTGGTAACATGTATGTACTTATTTTATTAAAAAAGACATTTTAATTGTAGTTTTTTTACCTTTTAAATTATGAGTTTAATGTGTCCTTTTAATGAGACGTTATATGTTAACCTCAAATGTTCAATTTGTACACTATAGAGAATTGTTTACATGGTAGTCTTGTTAATTCATCATTAATGACATTTGACTTCATATTATTTTAATGACCAAAAACATATTTTTTTGTGTGCTAACAAATCTTTATTGAACATCTAGCTGTCTGGTAAATATTCTACATACATTATTACCTCATTTGACTCTCATAATGACTCTGAGGTGAGAATTATTATTATCCCCACAATACATACAATTAAACTGCAATTTTGTAATGCTGTAGAAGTAGAAGTTTCATAAGGTCTCATTGTTAGTGAGTGGAAAACCTGAAGTTCAAATCCAGAATTTCTGACTCTCCAATCCTCATACTTTTTTTGTGGGGGCAGGAGTCATACATACAATTTACATACAATGAAATGCACAGATCATAACCGTATGATCAGATATGCTTTAATACATTTATATACTTATATAACCACCATCTTACTTAAAGATATAGACTATTTCCATCCCCCCCCCCCAAGTCTCCTATGCCTACTTTCCATAAAATCACACCTATTATGGGAAACTATTGTTCTAATTTTTATTGCCATGGATCAGTTCTGCCTGTTCTTGACAGCTATAACAATGAGCCATATAATTTATATTCTTTAGCGCCTGGATTCCTTTGTTAAGTTTCATACATGTATGCATCAATAACTCATTTGTTTTATTGCTGACTAGCATTCCATGTTATGAATATACCATAATTGATTTATCCATTTTTCTATTGATGAACATTCATCGTGTTGTCAGTTCTTTGTTATTGTACCTAAAACTGCTACAAACATTCTGTAAAATCTTTTCGTAGACATGTTTTCTTGTGTCTTGGTAGATACCTAGAATGTAATTGCCAAATCATAAAAGAGTTCTATGTTTAACGTTATAAGAAACTGTCAAACTTTTTCCCCAAAGTAATTATACTATTTTACATTCCCAACAGCAGTAAGAAAGTTCTTGTTGTGCCACATTCTCAGCAACATCAGTTATTGCAAGTCTTTGTACTTTAAGTCTTTTTACTGGATGAGTGATGCTACGCCAACGTATTTTTAATTTGCATTTTTCTGTTTAATAACAGTATTAGCCCAGTTTCATGTATTCATTGTTCCTTTTTATAATCTCTTTAATGAACTAATTCCCTGTTCAAGTTTCCTGTCCATTTTTATTAGGTGTTTTGTCTTACTATCAATTTTTGAGAGTTTTTTTATATATTCTGGATACAAATCCTTTTGCAGGTATATGTACTGAGAATACAGTTTCATAGGATGTGACTTGCCATTTAACCTTAACAATGCTTACAGATTAACTTTTTATTTTTGATAAAGTCCGTTGTATCTGCTTTTGGGGGGGAGGTCATGATTAGTACTTTTGAGGTCATTTCTAACAAACCACCATTTATTTAAAGTTCATAATGATATTCTGTGTTTTTTAGATGAAAGTTATGAATAAGACTAAAAAAGCTTCTTTTTTATGATTAGAAACCTGGTGTATTGAGAAAAATTCATAACGAAAGCTTCAATTGCTTATTCTGCAACTTACAAAATAGTAATTTGATATATAAAATGAGTTGGTTTTCATTCTGTAAGTATAAATGATAAAAATAATAATCCATCTGATATATCATAGGTATGCTATTCAGAGAAACTTACAACCCTGAATTCTCCTGTTGCCTGTTTTACATCAGACATTTTACGTCTGTTTACCAAGGAAGACCAGGCTTTTAACTATATATAGGTTTCTGCTTACAGGTGCAATCTAACAGAAGTCATATCTATATCATTAGATCCCAGTTACTCTTGAGATGAAAAACAGAAGCAAGTCATTTTTTCTCCTTAAGCTTAATGGTACTTTGGTGATAGGAATGGCCCTCCTGATGCTCTCACAACCTAATTAGATCTATCAGTCATGGTAAATTAGACTCAGACTGTCTAATTTCAATACAGTCTACTCTGGTTCTGAACATATAGACATGAAAGAGTACAGATCTATTAATACAGCATTTTCCCATACCCTAACCCTATTAAGAATTTTAATAATGAAAATTTCATCTAAACATCTTACTATTTAAGGCCTTCCTACTGCAACAGGTTTTGGCCATGAAGCAATACTTTCCTAGATGACATATCAAGCCAACGTGAAGCTTAGCAAAAAAGTAATTATTCAGGATATTAATTAGAAGTTTTCACAAACAATATGTATTTAGGCAACTACTTTACTTCTTTCCATAGTTGAAGGCTTGAAAAAAATTTTTTTTGGCATTTCTTTTAGAACGTTTGATCTGACAATTTCTACCAATCAATATCTCCACTCCTCTCCTTAGCCTTTCATAGACTCAGGTCATTCTATCTGGAAATAACAAAAACTCAATCCAATTGTTAAATCTTGGAACTGTTCTCATTTTTACCATATAAAGCATTAAGTTTCGTGTTCATATTCTCTTATAAATATAGTATAAATGTTATGGATGGATATAAGGAAATAGTGACATAATAAAAGTCAACTAGTGAAAAGAAACAAGTCTTACTTAATTCCACAAAACATATATAAAAGATGAATATGAAACTGTAACACTATTTAAGAAATATTTTCTCTCAAATGATTTTGGCACTTTTGACTAATTTCGTAATAAGAACAGTGCCGAAAAATAGGTTCCCGGTTTCTTCCTCTGAAATCCATCTGCGCGGCAGGGATTTTCTTCTGCTCTCATCCTCTCCACATTAGGCGGAGCTGTAGAAGTACCTGGGCGAGGCATTGCCCAGGAGGTCACCTGCGTAGCTGGGGAGGCAGCGGAAGAAGAAGCACAGCCGATCGGGATAATCGTGGCCACCCACCCGAAGCCACAGGCCCAGTTGTAGATGTAAGTGGCAGCGGGGTTGGCATGAGGGTTGGAGGTCTGTGTGTACTTCACCGGGTAGATTACTAGGGAGATGATCTGGAACACAGCAGCCGGGGCAAGAAGGCCTCCAATCACTCTCAGGAAGACGAGCATCTGGGGCCCACAGAGGGCAAAGAAGGAGAAGATAACGCAGATGACCGGGATGATGAAGCCGCAGGAGAGCCTGGCAGCGGCTGCGCTTCCCCACGCCTGCTCCAAGAGGCTCAGGCAGCCAGCGGCGTAGGAGCCGCTGCCGCCCCCTCGTGGAAGCATCTCCACCCCAGCGAGGACGTCTGGATGTGGCCATTCGCGAGCGCAGGTGCCGCGACGAAAGGGAAGGGGCCGCAGGGAGGCGGCTCCCGGGGGAGGGGACACCACCTAGATGCCGGTGACTCAGAGCGCGCCAACCCGACCTGCCGGGCCGGGCGCGTGTGGGGTGGGGGTGGCTTCTGTTTTTTTGTGATCCAACTCACATTATATTTCTGTAGTACAAGTAAAGGATAGTTCTTTATGATTTTTTTCATGCATTTAGCTAGTTCTTCCAATACAACGGGC